TACTCTTCCAGCTTAAACTGGTTTTCAAAGTTTGAGCTGTTACAGTAGGAGGCAGAGCTCAGTGGGATTGGTTTTTTGCTGTTTATATAGTGTGTGAATCATGGTCTAAAAACGAAAACTGCTACTTAGAGAAATACATTTTAAAAAAACCAATTAGCCTTCTACTTAGATTCAGAAAGTAGTCTTTTTCGCAGAGGGGTTTGTTTCCTGGGCTGCTCTCAGCAAACACACTGACTACACACTGTGCAAGGGCGTTTTATACAAGCAAACAACCATTTTACTTTAAACAAAGACTGCATGTATTTCTACCTCAGAGGAAACAGTGTCTGGACATGCTTTGTGCCTCTGTTTAATATTGTCTTGTTCAACTTCAGACTAGGACAGAGAGCACCCCACTAACAAAGAACAACTGCCTTCTGTACAATAAGCCTGACATGTGCTCGTTGTGCAAGACTTCCAACAAAATCTCCACTGTCTTGGACTAAGGGACATGCCACGCAATCTCGAAATCATCCTGCTCTGCCCCACAATTCACTCCAGTTCAGAGCCTACAGACAGCACCATGCTTTCTGAATCCATCACCCATCCTCCTTACAAAGAAACCTGTGGCCTCCCTTCATGTCACCACAATGCTACAGCAAGAGACAAAAGGCTACCCAGAGGCAGGGGGAAAGTTGTATTTTTTGTAACTGAAGAGAAGAGCAGCATTCTTCTCAGGAAAAAATTACAATTTTGAAACTTTGCCTCAAATACAAGACAGCCAAGAGGCTACTGCAGTGGTCAGGGGCTGTAAAACCAGCTCCCATACTGCAGAGCCCTAAGCATCTTACTCTACACCTCTGTGCCACATTCCTCACATGACACATCAAACTGTTGTCCTCCCATCAGTGACTTTCTATAGTGTTGAAACTGCAATTCTCTCATTAATCCCTTCGATTGCAGTGTCAATTAAACACCATCAGAACAATCAGAGCATTTAAACACGAATAATGCAAAAAATCACTTGACCAGTTTCTTTGCACAGTATTAGAAACAAATAAATCTTTGATGTAATCTAGTTCACTATGTGGATCGTACACACATAACTGCTGTTACTAAACATAAGTGTTGACATGAAACTTTGGATCCATATTAAAAGCAAGTGAATAAATAGGAAGCAGAATTGATTTCCTAATCTCCATAATCGTCAGCATGACAGCTCTGAGAGCTGATTCATCTCAAGTACCAATTTGTATGTATGGTAAAACTATACAATGCACAAGTAAGAACTCACTTACAATATGGTGTTAAATTCTGGTTAACATAGTACAAAATAACTCTCTGAAGCACTGTAAACAGGAAATAGACACCTAATGAATTCCTGGTAAAAAAGGAATATCATATACAGTACACAAAAACTTAAGAAACATAGTTAAATCTTGAACTGCCAAAGGATTTGAGCTAAGAAATCCAAAATCCAAAAATACAGATACTTTAAACCTTGAGGGAACATGCACTGGATGGGACACCAGTCTATTACAGGGATGCACATGGGAGCCCAAGTGAAAACTGAAGGGTAGATGGAATTGGCATTGAAAACAGGAGGCACATCACTACACAAAGAGTTGTGGAAGTCTGGAACAATCTCCCAGTCCAGCTGTTGATCCCAGTCCAATGCAGAGCTTGAGCTGGTCTTGTGAGCCAAATGAGCTAGACATTCATAACCACATAGCACATGTAAAAAGAACGTTTCACATGGAAAAATGAAAAGCCTACTAAAAAAATTGCTCACTCTAGTTATTTGCATTATATATGATTCCTTAATTATATATATTTTAAGCATGCTTGAAGTATTTCCCTTAACATTGTATTTTTTCTGCAGGAAAAAAAATGCGTATTTTATTACAGCTCTTAACTGTAGAAACAGAAAACTTCCATGCTTGAAACCAGATGCAAATTATTTTAAATACAGTTCATGGCAAAAGGCTACATTGTTGTATGGGGTTTGTATAAACAATTTGATTTACAGTATCTGCATAACACTCTTTTGTGATAAACTACATTAACCACCAGAGAATGCACAGTTGTCACCAGTGTAGTGTGTTGATCCAATTATTCATAAAAGAAAATACATTTTGAAATCCTGGTGTCCTGGCCAAACTTCCCCCTAGCCTTTACCAATCATGGCCTCCTTATACTCCCCATCAATGAATTGGATTCATCACTCTGTTCTCCTCCCCTATGGTAGCTGGTGTGTAGTGAGTGTTCTGTCGCACTATGGCTGCGTTCAGATCATCCAGGTGGGGCTGCACATTGGTGGTGGTGGAGGAGAGTCTCCATTACCTGTAATGCTCTTTTCAGTGGAGTGTCCCGAAAAGCGCTATATAAGTGTAAGAAATTATTATTAAATGTCTACTCCATTTGCAATTGCCATTAACAGCTTGTTTAGTTGAGTGTACCTAGAGTTCAGAATATAGGAAGAACTCTGTAGGTCTTGCTAGGACAAGAAATCTAATCTAGTTCTTTGTTAAACAGGGGCCTACATCCCTGGTCCTGGAGGTCCCCAGTCCTGTTCATCTTACTTTACCAGTTATTTATCATGCCACAGCATGGTGGCACAGTGATCAGCATTGCTGCCTCGCAGCACTGAGGCCCTGAGGTCAATTCCAAACCTGGGGTGCTATCAATGGAGTGGAAGTTGTATGTTCTCCCTGTGCTCATGTACTGGAGGTTTCCTCCAGGTGAAATCATAGACATAGTGGAAGGTTTATTGGAACTCTAGGATAACTGGACCTGTAAATGTGTGCGTGTCAGTGTGTGGATTGACATCCCATCTAGGGTGTGCCCATTTCTTGCTAGGATAGGATCGAGCTCCCCCACAACCCTCTACTAGACAAAGTGACTAGAAGATGGATGGATATAACTCAGTTAAGAGAAACCTCATCATTGAGGGCTTTTGGCTGACTTTTTTCATCCAAATGAGCTCTAAATGAATTGTATAACCTGTTTACTTGGTCACAGTAAAAACATTGCTGACCTTTAGAAATTGGTGATTTAATAGTGCCCTATAAACTCTGCTGGGCTGAGACCATCTAGGAACAGTGCAGGAGACCCACCATTAAATATTAAATAATAATCCTGGAGCTTCAATACCTTGGCACTATTTTTTAATTGTAAATTAACTTGGACCGCCAATACAAAGGCAAGGTATTCAAAGGTGCAGTAAAGGTTGTATTTCTTCAAGAACATAAGGAGTTGTAAATGTAGAAAACACAATATTGACAATTTTGAATTCACAATATCCTAACCTTCTGTATTTAGAGCTGGTAAGGTGCCTTGTCCTTTTACATCAAAACTAAGTTGCACAAAGGGACAAGGTTTGGTGGCAAGATTTCTGGTGCATCCTTGGACTCAATAACAAGGTCTAACGGAACCACATATTGTTAATCTTGCACATAAAATCTTAGCCAATCTCTCTCACCCTATCTTTTGAGAATGTTGTATGCTTTCCTACCCTCTGGGAAGAGATACCAGATCCCCCCGCATGAAGATTAAGAGAGCGTTTACTTATTTTTTACCTAAAAGCATTCAATTGTTGAACAATGAAAAGATAGTTTTCGGGTTACGGATCTTTTTAGAATTGTTTGTTTTCTGAACACCTTACCTGCTTATTGTCTGTTTATTGGCCTTTATAGTACTTGAAGAGTTCTGATTGAGAAATGTTGTTTTGCACTATGGTATTGTACTGTTGTTGTATAGTATTATTGTGAAATATGTTATATGTTATTAGCTCTTGATATACAAGACAAATTCCCTCAGGGGCAATAAAGGTTTTTAATTCATTAGCTACAGCATCAGTTTTAACATGATGAAAACCATGTGCATGAATTGCTATTAGTTTCAATAGCAATCACAGTTCACATATTATAAAAACAATGTCTTTGGCTGTCAGAATTGTCCTTCATCAACAAGTTGTTTACCTCATGCAAAACAAAGCAGCCTCATTCAAACTCTTAAGGTTCACTAGTTTCATTTGTAGAATTAAAAGAGGAGAAATAAATCCTAACCCAATGTATTGCGTACAAATACATTCTCTCTTCCTAAAGTAACGATTCCTGTAGCCCTTACGGGGCATGTGATGGCAAACCTGACTCTTTCTACCCTTGCTACCCTTTCACTACTACTCAAGACCATCCCAGACATGTTCTACACCACCATGGATGGGCAAATCACAACCTTGATCATCTCCTAGTTTTATAGCAGGCAAAATGGAAAAGTAACCTCAAACGTCACTAGTACAAAACATGAACATCTTAGCTGTACAAAAAAGGTATTATAGTTGACATGAGTTATCTCAGTGATGAAAAATTTCAAATTTCTCAGAAGGCTATGGTCCATCTCCACAGTTGTGCAACTACAGTGAAGAGAGAAATACCCACGACAATGACATTGGACAAAGGATGGTACATGCAGTGTGTGACCAACCTCAGGCAACGACATTCATTTTTAATATACCATATGCACCTAGCACAGCTAACAAAAGGGAGTTGATAAAACATAACAACGAAGCTTGCGTTTAGCAACTGAGTTCAGCCTTAGGAGAAGAATGAGCGAAGTCCTACTCCTTAAGGCAGGAGCAAATTTCCTCCACAGACTCTGGCTAACGGAACAAGCCAAGAAGTGGATGTATCCGCCTCCGAGAGCAATACACCTCACTCAAGAGGGAAATAACAGATTCTTTTAACAGCTATTAGCCTTAAGCCGGCAGCCAAATTATCTAATGTGCTTCCTAGAACGACCACAGCTGTGTGGCTGTCATCCAACACACTGCTATCGGATGCAGTGAACTTCTTCAGTTTGGGATATCGTACCCTAATTTGCTTCAGCAACAGATCAGCGAAACTCCACATACTGTATTGTTAGCAGCAATAAAGCGTACGAAAACACACGTGAGAGTAGCACAAGTCTTCCAGGCAGCTTGATGTACAGTATCTCTCCTATAAGCATCAGTTTCCCCTTACCTCTAAGCAACACAGTAAAGTGTGACTGACCACTCGCATGCCTCTTGTTCACAGTGAGGTCAGTTTTTCAGTGAATATTTCGAGACAGCACCAAACGTTGCTTTGCTCTCCTTCCTCTTGCGTGACTCAGAATATCCACAAAGTACTTAGCTACGGATACTGTTATTATTTGTAAACGAATTATTTATTTTCTTCTCGCGTTTCGCGGACCGCCCTCCGAGATCAGTTTTCACGATGTGGCGCTGAAAGGGTTTCTGGAGAGCGAACTTGTTCGCCCGATTCATTAGCAGCCAGAGCTCTTTGGAAGTTTCACAGGAACCAGTTCGGTGCCGTGGCCGCCTCCTTGTGGGCGCTGATCCGGATTGGGAAGCGCGGCTGTCAGTCAGCTCTCCCTGCCTCCTCCTACGCGGAGAGAAACAAACTGCAGTTCAATTTGGACACACAGAATAACAAGATTTTTTATCAGCTGCAGTTAAGAAAACTGTTGAGATCTTGCATATTTAGCAAACAATCCCGCCTCCTGTTGTTTTTACTTATTTTTGGTCCGTGTTTTCAGTGGTTTATTGAAATCATATCCAAAATCCGACACCTTATTAAGTGTTTATTTCTTTATTGTTTTACAAATAAAACTACCGATGTGAATTTCCGAGATTTTAGGTGAATATGCTCATCTCATAGCTATAATGTAGCGTTGGTACGTTTCGCAAAACTGAAAGGTCGGTATTATGCTATTATAAGATGTTTCATCTTGCCAAAAATGAAAATTCATCAAACCTTAGACAATGATATTTTTTTATTTTTTATCAAAATGAATCATATCAAATCTTATTGGCGCAAATCCTAACAGTTAATTATACTTTCTTTAAAGTTGCATAAATTGCAAAGGATCCCAAAGAGGAAACCCACTTTATCCACCTCTGAACGCGCGACAGCAATTCTGCGCCTGCAGCCATACTTCACACTTAGGTGGAGAGGTGAGAAAAGGCTTCGCCGTTTGGTTACTAGTGGTATACTCAGTAACGATGACAATGATCCCAGTTTAAGAAGTTATTTTAAATTACAATTAGGCTCCGCATTATAGCTGCTAAGAGGAAACTTAATTGACCGCGCCTGTCATGAGGAAACCGTGTGATTTGTTATGACACTTGCTTTCAGGCACTGAGTGGGTTTCCTAAATACTTTAAAACACTTTCATGTGAATGGTCTATAAGCATTGATTATAAACAGGATCTTTTTTAGAGAGCTGACTGGTGGGTATCCTGTCACAGGAAATGTTTTCATATTCCAAGTTATAGAGGTCTGTGTATCTTAAAAGCCAAGGGAGAAGATGAAAGAGAAACAGTGCTGAGCAAAATGTGATCCTGTGTGTGTTGGAAACTGTCTGACTGGCCCTGAGACAGTGTGTGGTAACAAGCTGCTTCTGTACTAACAGCCAGCACCATGTTTATCTATCACCAGGGAGGAATGTACAGTCTTCAAGTTTTTGTTCCATCTTACAACCAACCTAGCAGCTTCTCCTAGTTCATCAGGAGGTGGTTTCTAGGAATAAACCTAGAAAACCTACAGACACAGTGGTCCACCAAGCGCAGAACTCCTCATAATTGGTCCATAGCAAAGAGGCTTTCTGCTGGAGGACAAAGTTAAAGAAAGGGGCCCATGGAACAGGCACCAGAGTTTTCCAGTTATAGTTCTAGTAGAACTCTGAATTACACCTTTGAACAAATTATTTGGGAATCAAACCTATTTAGCCCTCTTTCCAAACCTTATGTTGCCAGTTATTTCAAAGTATCAATAAAACATACACAGGATCATGGCCCTCTAGGATGAAGTTAGTCAACACTGATTTAAAAATAAAAAAACACAAACCTGACTACAAGTCCAGTAGCTCTTAGAGTCAGGAATGTACAGAGGTGCTAATTAATTACCTTGACTGATCAAGGATAGCTCAGGGTGAAGCCAGTGTCAAATGATACCACAGCACCTGAGGTAACCTGAATTCTAACTGTCAGCTTTCAATATAGAGAATAACATGTCCAGATGAGCCACTTTTCTGATCAATTCATTTAAATGAAAGTGAGAAGTAGATGCTGACAGTGTGCCTTTCAAAGCAAATGTGCTTTCTAATAGCCCATGCTAAGATCTGTTGTCTTCCCAAGTGGCATTCATTTTCTAATTGTTTCATAGTGCAGCACTCAGCAGCCCTTTAAGCTGGATCAAAACCCACTTTGGGAACTGAGAGAAGGTAGTTCAGGTCAACGGTTGCTCCACTCAGGGTTCAGCTGTGCTCAGAACAGGTGTTGCCAGGGCCAGGACCTATAATCCAGTAATTTAGATGTTCATACAAGTTGTGGTGGACAGATGTTCGTACAAGACCTACCAAGAGTCAGCTGAGTATTCCAGCTGAATTAAAAGCCATATCTCCAATCACGAAAACAAAGGCTGCACTTTATCTCGCCAGGAGTGGAAGGAATGTCCTTTTTTTGGTAGTCAGGAAGCTCCAAAGACTGCCCTCGACACGCTCCTTCTTCCCAGAACTCCTAGCAGTGCTTGTGCCGCGGCCTGCAGCAGCTCGGTGTGGACAGGCCAAGGGGCAGGTTTGGTTTTCACTGTGAAATCAGAAAAAAACAGCTGAAAATTGAGAGAAACTCGCCTGTGTCACCGTAGCGCTGCTGAGATGCCTGCAAGAGGCAAAAGAGGGAGGATTTCTGGGGATGTTCAGGAGGTGGAGGGGGTCTGTCTGTATTCTAGTTCACGGGTGCCCAAATCCAGTCCTGAGGAGCTGCAGTCCAGCATGTTTGATAGCAGCACCTTAAGACCTCAGAAAACCATGTAAACCAATAGTTAGTTCAGGTAGGTTGTGAAAGGCTGAGCTGTATTGAAAATATGCAGAGTTGGCCTTTAGGGCTGGACATGCTTAACCCTGACCAAGTCAATACAATATAGATATAAGCAGCACTAGCCTAAAGTAGGGCAGTGGTTTTCACTTCTGCCTTGCAGAGCTGCGGTCCTGGGTTCAATTTCTGGGATGCTATCTGTGTGGAGTTTGTACGTTCTCTCTGTGTTATGCCACGCCCCCGGAGGACTCGTCATTCCACCTTGCATTCCAGTACAGTTCACAATTAGCTCATTTAGCCTGCCTATTTAATGCTGCTTCACACTCTCCCCTGTGATCAGTATTAGGGTTTTTCCTGGTTAGAGCTACTTCAACTTTTTGTAATTACTTACTACTTGGTTTTTGGCTTCCTGATTCTGGTTTGTTCTCCGACTAAGTCTCCTGGTTTTGTTTTGGTACTTTGGTTATCGTTCTGGCTTCCTCACAGCTTACGGCTCCTCTCCTGGTTTTGTACTTTTGCACCTGTTTGTTTACTTTCGGCTTTTGGACCTCAGACTGTTATATCGACTGCACCTCTGGAAATTGTCCTGGTTTTCCTGCAAAGGGTCCTCATTAATATTTTCAAATACTCTGTGTTCGCATGGGTTTCCTCAAAGGGCAGTTTCCTTCCAAAGTCCAGAGATATGCTGGTTGTTTCAATGGCTTCTGGGAAAACTGTCCTTGGCATGAGTGTGTGCATGTTTGAACTTGAACTTGAACTTTATTGCCATATGTAGCCGGTACTGGTACAATGGAATTCTTACTTACAGAAAGTCTCTCGATTGTAAAACAAGTGTAAAAAACAAGACAAAGTGCAAACAGTGCATCAAGACAATGTACAAACAAACAATAGACAATGTGCAAGTAAACATGTAGACAGTTTGAATGTAAACAATACAGACGTGTAAACAATAACTGGAGATGTGCAATAGGTAAGAAATCATAAAGAGGTAGATGGTGATGGTGTAGGTGTGGTCCGAGGGGGATGGCTAAATGTGTTCGCCAGTCTCACTGCTTGTGGATACACTGTTTGTGTCTGTGTGTGCCCGTTAATGGACTGACATCCCATTTAGAGTGTATCCCACCTTGTCCTTAGTGCTTCCCAGGACAGCATCCTGATATAGCAGTTAGAATGTAGATGGATGGAAAGTGTTAAGAAAGAGCTCGACATGAAATGCCCAAGTAGTGAAAACGTAAAAAAACACATACATTATATACTGTATTTCTCCTCAGAAATTCCAAATGAGTATAGCTGTGCCCCAAGAGAGCGATGATGAGCAAATACTGCAGTCTGGGTCTGAATCATGTTCAGCAAAAGTACAAGATCCCTCAAAATACATACAAAAAAAACATGATAAAACATTTGGAAAATATCCCAGTGTTATGGAGTCTTTCAAATCCTAGCACATCAAGGAGCAAAAAACAGCAAATGAGACATCACAGCATTTACTCAAGCTGCTGAATAAAATAAATCCATTTAAAAAACAAGCTGGATTTTTCAGGGAGTTTCCAGTTCCATGTACCACCGGGAGAACAGCTGAATTCCACTTCATCGGAGAGCTGGCAGTGCGCTTGACCAGAAGATGAAATCACTGCTGGCTTGTTTCTCTCCCTCATCCCTGACAGGATCATGGAAAACACAGCCCATCGGACCTCCCGTTGTTTATTCTGTTTTCACGAATCAATACGGAGCAGTCTGTGGGATTCAGCTCCGCATTGAGAAAACTGCCATTCCGCATGACCTCATCACCGGCCGGGGGAGCACACGAGCAGGACGTGAGTCCAGAAAGCTTTCAGGAGAAATTCATCAGGCAAGCGTGTCAGTGTCACACTTTGGTGAGCTGGAGCTGAAATTTAAGTTAAGCTCCAGTTCAGCAGTGTTTAATTCTAGTACTTCTCACTCTAAAGAGTGAGAAGCACTGGTCTTCAAACCCCTTTGATTTGTAGGCATATCATATATCCATTCATCTATTTTCTAACCGGTTTATCAGATTCAGGGTCATGGGAAAGCTGGAGCCTATCCTGGCAATCAACGGGTGCAAGGCAGGATACTCCTTGGACTGGGTGCCAGTCTATCCAAGACCAATTTTCCCAGTATCCAATTATCCTACAAGTATGCCTTTGGACTGTGGGAGGAAACCAGAGCACCCAGCAAAACCCACACAAACAGAGGGAGATCATACAAACTCAGACTCAGACTGGAATTGAACCCTGGGCCTCAGTACTGCAAGCAAACCACTGCACCACCATGCCACCCATATATCATTTGATCGAAATCAGGGGTGGTTTTCCTTGACACCTCGATTCTGTGCCGTAACAGGACGTTCCACTGACTACTGATTTGATTCTTCATTGCTTAAGTAATGCATGTCTTTTCAGATCACTCAGATAATTAAGTATTGGCTAGACCAAAGACTTGCAATGTCCTAGAAGGCTGCTCCCCACTGTTTTAAATGGTGCTTTAAGTCAATGTCCTTATCTCCTTGTTCTGGAGAGCCACTGGGTTTTTGGATTTAAATTCCACATGAAAGCTTAATGACCTAATTAAGAAAATGATTTACTTCTAGTGGTACATTATCACTCTTTCCACACCTTTAGCTATTGAAGAGTTTCAGTTCTCTTCAACAGTCCTGTTGATCTTCTACATCGCCTTACATCATCCTATTTAAAGATCAGAAATGTTTGTGAGTTATTGTTCAGTGAAGGAATTAATTTGTTCAATTATGGGGACTCTAATGTTTGTGAATGGTATTCCAATTTTTAGTTTAGAAACTGAGAATGTGATGGTGATCTACCGTGTAAAACCTGCTGCATAGGGGCTCTTCAGGAGCAGGGCTGAAGAATATGCATGACAGCCTACTGCACCAGGATAGAGAATGACACTGCTGATGCCAGCTTTACACAGTTTTCCTTACAGCAGGGAAAGACACACATAAAACCTGAAGGATGGGCAGGGGACATCAGTTTCTAACGAGGATGTTGTTGGAATTGGTGTGGGGCCACTGTGAGAAAGGTAAAGAACATAAGAAAGGTTGTAAAACAGAGGAGGTCATTCAGCCCAATTGGTATACACAATGATCTTATCCGTATATTTCTTAAAAGAAGCAGGGATTTCAGCTTGGAGAAGATTGTTCCAGACTCGCACAACCCAAAGGGTTGTTCTTGAAACTGGGGTTTTTGACTGTTTGAAAAGACAGGTCACAGTGGAAGTACTGGGGTTGAGGGGCACTAAGCCAACATTTCCTATAACATTACATAAGAAATCAAGGGTCCTGTTCTTAACTGCTCCAGGGATGTTGATCCCAGCTCTGGAGAGAACATTCTTGAAACAATCTGCAGAGCATCTTTTTCAATCCATCTATAACAGCCTCTTGTTGAAGCCACTTTGGAATATTGTGGATATTAATCCTGGAGTTGGGTTTAGAATACAGGTTAGGTAACAGACTGGTCTGTCTGGATTCTTTCTTCCCTAAATTAAGAATCATCTAGAAACATGTTATGTTTCCTTGTCATCAGCGTGGTGACACGCTGTGTCAAGTTTCGCCCAATTGTTGTCAGGAGGATGACTCATCATGTATGGGTTAACCTGTTGTGATAAATGTCACCGCATGGTTTACAGTACACTGCTGTCTTTAAACATGACAAAGACAAACATGACAAAGTCACACTGGGAAAAACAAAATTTATTTTTGTTAAAAATACATTCATACATACATATTACAGACTGTCACATATATTTCTGTCCATTTTCTAAACACTTCTCCCAGTCAAGCGTTGCAGGGGAGCCGGAGCCTATCCCAGAAAGCAACAGGCACGAGGCAGGTACACCCTGAATGGGATGCCAATCCATCACAGGGCAGACAGACACACACTCACACCAGGGCTAGTTTTTTCAGATTGTTCTTGAACTTTGGAAGGAAACCAGAGCATCTGGAGGCAACAAATGAGAATAGAAGGAGAACATAAAGTATAAACTCCACACAGACAGCACCCCAGGTCTGGAATTGAACCCAGGGCACCAGCATTGCAACGCAAAACTGCGTCATCATGTCACCCATGACATGTATTTAAAATATGCAAATGTATGTCAGTATTCTATCTCCACCGAGTTTTGGACGTGAAATATATATACACAGTATATTTTGGTATAGGACTCAGAATTAGTTCTTCCTATTAGGGGTTCCGGTTAGCAGAGTCCCACTGCTTACAAGACCTACAAGACTGAACTTGTGAGACAAATATTTATCAAATATTTTTCTTTGTTCTTCAAAACTGACAAATTTAGTATCTTCAGCCCCGAGACACATATTCTCAGGTCATCAATGTTTCCCCTCAAAGAAATCACCTGTTGTACTGGATGTGCAGAAGAGTGAATGGTTAATTGCCTGAAGTAAACTGAAACCACAGAGAGATTTACCTGTGTTGTGGCTGGAGCCCGAGGACTGAAATCTTGCCCGAAGATAGGCTTTGAAAGTCTGGAGCCCCCATGTGGCAGAAGCAATACCTCCATGAGCAGTAATAACTGACTCACAGGTATTGCTTGACTACATCTGCATTGCAAACAGCAGGCTTTTGCGGATGGAGCCCTGCCTGTTTATCAACAGACGGACTGTGACTCAAAATTACTTCACATAATGTAATGGAGGTGTGCCGCAGTGGCCTGGCAGTCAGCAGTGCTGCCTCACAGCTCTTGTATCTGGGGTTTGATTCTGGCCTAGGGTGCCTTTTGCATGGAGTTTGCATGTTCCTGTCATGTTCATATGAGTTCTGGCAAGGTAATCGGGATTCTGCCCAGCTTCCCAACACATGCTGTTGAAGTTTACGAGTGTCTCCGAGTTGTTGTTGTGTATTTGTGTGTCCTCCAATGGATGTCCATCCTGTCCAGAGCATGTCCTGCCTCGTGCGCTACACACCTGGCAATGGTTCTGTGTTGCCGCGACAATTGTAAACTCAAGTAATGTTCTGATAATGGATGGATGGATTATGTACCATAGATTATCTTTTAAAATGCCTTTCTGACATCGGGTGTTAAAACCAGAAACACTTGATTTATGCTTTAGAATTTTGAACTGTAGCTGAAATAATACACAAACTGCAAATATCATTAAATCTGTTTTTAAAATATTGAACATTTAAATATATTTAAGTTATGCTTATACCAGTATATACCATACATATCAAGGGACATACAGCACATACATATCGCACAATACTGTGCAGCCCTAATGATAAAAATGTACTTCATTTTTTTACTTTCAAAACACAGCAATATTTCATCATCAACATTTTAACATTACAATGTACGCCTAGACATTGCTGTATGCTCTTTGTCACTCCAGTAGCTGACCCACCACTTAATTACTTGAAATAACAACCTACCTTAATTACAATTTACAAACTTTCATAATTTTTTATTATCTCTCATGTTCCGAATTCATCACAGGATCCTTTTGTCTCTCCTAGTCTCTGTTCCTGGAGAGTTATGAACAAAGACACTTCACATTTTACCTACGGACAAGATGCAGTATCTGTCGTTACCGTATTTCATTGGGTGTGATTTAGCAAGTGTTCAATGTTGAAACGTTTCTTTTCTGGTAACAATGAGCTAATTATGTTGTAATTCAAGTTTTGAAAAAATGATCAGGAGGTAATAAAGAGAGATTTATTGCAACAGAAGAATAGGCTAGTACAGCATGACACACCATAACAAAAGCAAGTTTTGTTTCTGGCACATTTATAAATACATACTGTAGAAAGTGTTATGTAATTCATTGTCTGTGCCTGTGTAATAGCTTGTTGCTGTTTTTACTGTAGGAGTCCATATTCTATTTTTCCTTGTGAGCTTGCTTCATTGTGTAATATGTTGATTAATCAAGGGTTATTTCCCAACGACCACTTTAATTGGTATGGCACTATGCAACTCCATTACAGTAAAATATTCACAGTGCAGTGATACTGGTAGAGTATAGTGGTATGGATATAGCTGTAAAAAGTACTGTATTGTATACCTCAAGCTCTGAATACAAACAATCCACAAAATTCCACAAAAATGTGTTTTTAAAAAACTGTGAGTAACTCAAACAACTCTGTTGGAACTAAGGCTGTGCTACTGTTTCATTGACATATCCAGACCAGCAAAGTACAGCAGTACTTTTACTTCTGTTTTTCAGATGTACAGTAGCAACCACCAGAAAGCTCTGAGCAATGTTAATACAAGCTGATGTGACCTGCCTCACATATCCTGTACAGACACTGAAACCGATTTGTCATATCTTCGTCTAGACAACAGTATGGTTGTCCTTTAATGACACTCAAGAATTGTTCAAATAGCTTTTTTGTAGGGTTTATAGGAAATTCAAAACTACTCAACGGTTACAAACTCGGAAATGGCAGAAATTTAGTTTTAGTAAATTATTGATGTGATTATGTCATTAATAGGTCAGGAGTAATTAAACCAGAAGGCAGGGCATTTTCCTGAACTGTAGGTCCTCTACATGAATTGTCCACAGTCTCATTATTACCAGGCTCTATGGAAAGTTTCTGTGTTACAGCATGTTAGCTCTTTCAATGATGGATGTATCTGCAAGTGCTGAGCCAGGTGCTGATCTGTTGGGCAGCAGGTCAGCTTGAAGCATATTCGTGACACTCCCAAAGCAAAGACCAGATTCAAAAATTTCACTTTTCTTAATTTTCCACAAGCAGCAGCTTGTGTTGGAGGACAGAATTTCGTAAAAGAGTTATGAATACCTGAAAAAACAGCACTGTATCTAATGTGTTTTATCTCCCTCACTATTTTTAATAGGTCTTATTAATTCTGCAAAATTGCTCCTCCTGGAGCTCAGTCATGACTAATGGACAAATAAGCCAATGTACTACAGTGTAGCACGGACATCCTTCTGGCTCTGACATTGACTGGCAGCTTTGATGTATAAGAGATTTACATTTCTGATACAAACCCCCCTCCTTCAGTAATAATTAAGAAGAAATCAGGGGAAGGTTTATATTTTGTATTTCTACCATGTATTTCACATCCAGATGTTTTTTTAAAGGCAGAGGAAGAGCATAATGCAGGAAGTGTCTAATAATGTTTGGAGCATGCTACCATGTCAATGCTAGTTTTTTGAGACACTGAGAAAATACATATAAATGAAAATCACTGATGTCAGCAGGTCAATACTATAGTGCAACTGTGCATTACAGCAGCTGAAATAGATTCATTCGTATATTTATATTATATTTGCATATTTGTAAGTTATTCAACACTAGAATCCAGAAAGCAAATGTTTTAATAGATATTCAAGACAACAGGAACAAACAGGAAACCTGATAACATGGCTTTATTTAATATTTTATATATCCTTTTTAGGTGACCATAATATTAAAGGACTATTATTAATTAAAAGGTGACAAAAGCCATGTAAACGAATTTCCAGATTGGCTACAGCAGAAAGGGAAACATACTAGGAGACTGAAGGAGAAAAGGAGAGGCTTCTTGATCCAGTTCTGTGCCACACACAGAGTTATGGAGTGGAGTGGGCTCAGTCGGAGGCCTTGATGCCTTCCTTGATGAGGTTGAGCTCATAGCAGAGGGTTTCGTAGCGGTACGCCATGCGGATCTGGGCCACATTAGTCTTACGAATGTCGTTGCCCTCAGGCCCTTCTTTCTGGTAGTTATCCCCGAGGTAGTGAACTTTCTCCTGTAGAGAGAAAAGACGCAGGACACAGATCATCCAAAAATATCAATTTCTTACACCCACTTTAGTGGTGCCCCCTTCTGGTCACAGATGCCGGCAGCATGTTCGCCTGTGCTTGGCTCCATTGACTACTAACGCCAACGCGGGCATCTTCTTCCTTGTGTCTGACAGGCAACTCAAGCTGGCGTTAGTGGGATCTAAACCCAGCAGGGAGAGAACATATTTGAATTTCTTTTTTTGAAAACTTAGCAATTGCCAATTTGTGTTCTGTTTATGCCATTATGCCTGAGGGTCAATCTAGCGCACAAAGCCAAAGACACTGTAGTTAGCACCACATGTACAAAGGTGTTCAGGAAGTCAAAAAGTCAAGATAAAGCAGGGGTCTTTCACACCAAAGTTCATTCCTAAATCATCATCCTTAATCTCAAATTTTTCGGGTAAAAAATGGAAAACAAACTTAAACATGAATATCACCTCTACTTTTTTAATGTGTGCTATTCCATTCCTTCTAAGTACAGGAGACTTCGAAATACAGATTACCTGACTCCTGTACTTTCAATGTTTGGTAATTGAAACTGAATGCAATAAAAACCAATATTCTGGGAACACGGGTAGGAGAGCCCTTGTCATGAATGTAGAATACACAGCAACATATCTAAATCACAGCAAAAGCTCCATTGGTATGTACCGAAACAGAACAAAAAAATAAGATTCCCTGGGTATTCAGGCTTGGTCTGGAAGCCTTTTTGAGATTATCTTGGAGAAACAATTAGTACTGACTTATTTCTGCCTGATAAATGAGAAAATCTATTTGAAAACAAAGCAAGGTCACAAAAAACAAAAAATCCCTCAACATAGAGTACACAAAAACTTTGGTTTAAAGGCCCTAGGGGATGGAAGTTTTTAATAGTCCAAAACAATTTATTCAAGAAAGGATATGAATAGATAAACTACTGAGTCACTATGATATGTCTATTTACAGCAAACACACAAACACACAAACACACAAACACACAAACACACAAACACACAAACACACCACATCCACAGTACCACAAACAGTAGTTGCTGAAGATCAAACATATTTCCTTAGACATCTACAGGCAACCCTGGACACACCAACAATGGCATTGTTTCTCTTTTTGTCATCTTGCCCAACCCTGTCTTCGGGCACTCTCTCTAAACGCACTTCTCAGCATGCTTTTCTTGACGCAAACTTCCAGGCACCCTCCCTCTGCTGTAATTCCATTTCCTCCACCCTGCGCTTCTGACTGAAACAGACACTCGATCACACCCTGGGCGACAGTGGACAACTGAAATACAGTGGCCTTTGTTTTCCCGGAACTGGGATGCACAGGATTCTGCAGATTTGCCAAGTTAAGGTGGGAGTGATCCAGAAGAACAAAGTAGAAAAGTGGACAACAGCAAAATATACAAAAAGATTAAACATTTAAACGGGAAATCTATTAAATATCTAACTTGCCTTGTAACAGTTGCATGGTACAACTTGCTTACAGACTTGGTCAATGGTCTGGGCCACACACCCAATAGTGAGCTTTATGGACACAATGGGCTTCTCATTTGTCCAAGAAATAGCAAACCTTTGTGCAATTGTCTTTGACACAGGCCAGCCAGTGCCACCTCCTCTCCCTTTGCAAGAGCTTGCACACAGCCCTTATCTCAGGAAGGCTAAACTGGACCAAAACACTGGGAGAAGGGACTGTAGTGCAGTAAGGTACCTCATGGGACAGGCCGCTCTGCAAAACGCTGTTCCTGGCTATCTCACACATGTCACAGGTGCTCAGCTTGAAAACCTGGGCTGCAATGGCGTATTCCTCCATCAGGGGTTCCTGAGGGCACAAGCAGATTCAGATCAGACCGAGGACATGAAACACAGCTCAGGTCCATTGTGTTGGCAGATAGCAAGCCTCTGGCCTGTAAAGCTCACACAGGATTCAACTAAAATATGTTTTAAACCACCAGATAAGATATAGAAGCGCCTACTAAAAATGTTATAAAATGACAATCGAATGGTAAATTGCATTTTTCTTAATTACATTATTTAACATTTTCTTCTCTGTTTTATTTTCAGTAGTTTTCAGAGACAACAAGAACAGTATATTCTGACACATCTTATCAATAGTCTAATTAACAAACAGATATCCCTACTGTATGTACTGATACAATAGAAATTCCATGGATAATTTAAATCTTGGCTTTCTTCTATTAGAACACACATTAGCACACATTAGGGGGTCAATTACTATCAAAATGTACGAATTGGATTTGTATTCTAATACTCCTTAATAGAAAATATAGTTGGATAAACACGTTTAAACATAAACACAAAAAAATATTTATTTTATAAGGTAACATTTGTAATCACAGTGCCCCATACATAAAGAGAGAAAGATTAAAAACGTCAAACATAAATATCCTAAAATCTGATTTAGGCAAGATTCTTTGGAAAGGGCATGTCAAAGTCTTGGAGCAGAAAAACTAGAAGGCCTTGGTACCCACAGATCATAGTCAGGTCTTAGGAATACACTCAGGCCCAACATCAAAGCACAGGACAGAGAGCCAAGGCCCTGAAAGTTAAAAATACGTTCTTAAGATCAAGACCCAGGTTGCAGGGTTTTGAACATACTGCAATCTATCCAGAAATAAAATAGAAATGCAGTCATTTATAATAATAACTGTGACTGTTCTGAATAGAGTATGAAGCCTCATCCTGAAATTAGCAGGTTGTGAGAAGACTCCTCCTGGGGCTGGACTCAGAAGGCTTGAGAACTTCCCTTCAGGGGGCTGAAAAGGAAACTGCAGTTTCATGCACAGCTGAAACCAACCAGCAGGGAGGTCACAACAACTTCCTTTTTCACATTTCCCTTCCTGCTATAAACAACTGCAATACTTTATTTTTACAGAATACTTATTTTGCTGCATTTGAAGGAATTTTCCCTTCCGTACAATCACTTGCCACAGGAGTAAGCCTGAGTAAGGAACATGGTGCAGCGGACCTCTGATCCATTACCACTGCAATGCAAATCTAATCAAATGCTTCTAGAGACAACTACACACATTGAGGTGCACTGAAGTGTATTTATATATTTGAAATAAATTGCAGTGCAGAGTATTGTTAAATTTAGATTTTATAAAACAGAGAATTATGATATTTCAGGAGGTGATGTCATATAGATTTTGGACAAATCTGCAATATTGCACCGTCACGATACTGGCCAACACATGCATTCAGTCACCTTGGTGTAGTGGAACTGCATGGGGTCATCAGTGGACAGGGAGACTATCAGCCCCTTCTTGTGAAACTCCAGCAAGGGATTCTTGGCGTATTCCAGGAACAGGCTGTTGTTGCTGAGGGGCGACATGGCGATGGGGATCTGAGCCAGGAAGTACAGGTACTGTAGGACGGGACTCTACAAGACAGCGAGGCGTGGAAGAACGTGAGAAGCCGAGAGTGAGAGAAGAGTGGGTTGCTGGGATACAGAGCCTCCTACAAACCTCCAGTGAGGTACACTGACTTTGGTGTGGCTAGTCAAGGACATACTGTAAGAAGAAAGGTCACAAACAAGAGAAGGCCATTTGGCCCTCCCGGCTTCTATGGCTGAACAAGCCAGATGAGCCAAATGTCCTCCTTTTGTTTTCGTATTTGGTCCTCTTTTGCAACATTTAGCATTGCAGAATGATAAAGAGCACAGGGCTCCGGAAAATATGCCTAGATCAGTGGTTCTCAATCCTGGGTGAATGGATGGATCCCAGGATGGAATAGTTTTTATTCCACCCCACCTTCATTAGATAATGGAAGCCTTATTAAAAAGCTGCTTCAGTTGACTATTTGCATTTTGTTTCTAGTCACAAGTTTGGGATTTTATTTCACTTACAAAATACAATAGTTATATCTCTAACATGTTTTAGGAGCTGGGAACAAATCACTATTATAATCCTATTATTATGTCAATGAAGGGTTTGCTTGTGTTAACAGAGGGCTCAGCTAGAACCAAAACCAACAGGTGTGTCAGTCACCAGGACCAGGATTGGGAACCACTGACCTAGATGAACTTCAGGCAGACACTGACACAGTTAAACTGTTAGGTATGAGTGTAGCATCAGCTGGCTATACAATCTAACAGTACACATACAGTATAGAAAAGTTGAATGACGGACCGAAGAAACCCTGGCCACCTTCAAACCTGTTCAGTACTTGACTACTTCTCAGAATACCATCTTTAGAATGCCCTGTTGTTATTAGATTCATTTCAAATCCCAAATTTCAGCCAATGATCTACAGTGTCCATCCAAATGCTGCTCCAAGTGAAGGCTTGAGTTGGAAAGAAATCTGACTCCCAGCACCTGCTAGACTTTTGCTTGTGTAGTGACTGCCTCTGGAGAGGCACTTAACAGTCTTACAGTAAAGCATAAGTGTGTCTTTAAAGCTAATTTATAAAAGCTCTACACCCACCTCCCTGATTCTGCTGCACCCACAGACAATGTATTTGTTAGTATTTAATGTTTAATGTTGCACAAGTCAAAAACTAAAAAGTGCATTTAAAAAAAAGTCTTAAAACTGCTCTGATTTTATTACCAAATCATTCACAAGCAGGTATATTCACAGTATGCTCCCAAAAACGTCACTCCAGCACGTGCTCAGTAATGGACTGTAGGATTGGCTGTGATTCACTGACATTCTCTGGAAAACACACTCCCTGGATAACCACTGAATACAGATACCCATTTCTCTGGATTAAATCAAATCATTTTCTAAAATGGTTACTGGCTGCCTATAACACTGTTTATAGGCAGTTGCACAAATATGAAAACCTTCATAGTAATACTGTATCTTTAGCACAAGAAAGAAGGGAACAATGAATATAAGATAAAACTTTATTTTCAAGTAATCTTAATGGGGGCTTAAGTGTAGTAAAAACCATTACAAATAAGAAGCATACAGATCTGTTACCTTGTCTTATGGTTAGGAGTTTTGTAATTCATCACAATGACAACCAGTGAAGGTTACTGCTTTTACCCTTGGCACTGACTACCGAGGCTGTGACAGTCACCCCTGGCTCTGAACTGTGAGTTGCAAGCAGAGACTACTGACCTTCTTCAGGTTGAGCCCATGGGAGATGTTATCTGCAGTCATGAAGGAGGCCATTAGGTGGGTTATGGCGCCAGCTTCTCCACAGTGAGGCCTGAACTGGAACGTGTTCATCCCACGCTGCCTGCAGCACACAACCCACACTGCTCAAATCAGCACCACACTCAGCCAGACCCTATGCCTCTTTAACAGCAAACTGAGCTACACTACAGTAATATGAGAACAAGATGTGATTCAACACACTGAAACTGTGGATCGCAAATCTGTACTATAATACATGGACAACCAAGGAAAAACAAAATTAAGACATGGTTTGATCTCAGTAATGCCACAGAAGAACTGCAAGTGTATCAACCTCATGTCAAGATAGAGGAAACCCTAACCCACTTCAAAACCTGGTACTGGCCAACTACTGGTTACCCCAAGCTAAGGTATGAGTGACAGCGATCAGGAACTCACTTGCGCAGCTGATTCAGCACCATGATGTTGGCGTACATGTAGTAGATGTAGTAGGTGTAGGAGGGGTTCTTCTCAATATCCCACTCGTTGGGCTTGGGGCTTTTGGTGGAGAACATGTGGCCGCTGTGCTTGGACTCGTCATCCACGCTGTCAAAGCCTGTCACCTGCACAGAGCATGAGAAAAAAGTAAGAGGAGAGGTCCTCTGCCCTGTCTGCCTTTCACCCTCCTTCTCCATCTCCCTCTGTGCCGATTCCTGCTTCTGCCTGTCCAGCTTGTCCAATTTCTCTCTAAAACATGAGCTTTACTGGCTGGATTGTTACCCTTCACTCACAACCTGTGCCGTGTTCTCTCCATCTCTCCCTTTGTCTCTTCTACCTTCCCTTTGGTCCTTCTCCTCTTATTCCTTTGAGCTCTCTTCCCTAGATCCATCGTCCCCTTTGCAGTACCCAGATGAAATCAGAACTTCCAAGAAGGAAAACTTCTGGTTTCCAGAATTAAATCAACCAACAAACACCCCAACACTGGGTGGCAGGTTCCCAGCCTGTAGTGGCAAAGAGACTGTGGGAAACATTAAATTACAGCCTCACAGCTGATGGGGATTTTTATATGTTTCAAGTGGGCGAAACAGTCGATTTAAACATAAGCCCCAGCCTCACTCCTTTTCTCCCTGCCCCTCTCCCTCACGTGTTTCAGCAGGATGCTCAGCTCCTTGTTGCTCTGAGGGTTGATCGTGGCCTCGAAGGCTGGCAGGAAGATGTTCTCCAGCATCTTCCCGAAGTGCGGCACAAAGTTCTTGGCTCTGAAAATGTCACTGAAAGTAAAAGCAAAAAATAGTTTCAATTGTCTGTGCTTAAACTGAAGGGAACCTATCAGGACCCTGAAATTAGTGGAGCTATATTAAAGTTTTTGTGATGCTTTAATTGGTGGAAGTAGAGTTTGTGGTGTTGTTAGTGTAAATTGTGAGTCCTCCAATTCAGGAGTCATGAACATATTGGGGGCAGGCTGCACATGTTTGATTTGTTAAAATCCACTTAGATTTACAGGTTACAGGCTGGTGAAGAAAATGTTTGTTGCGGCATGTTACATTTATATAATAACAAATTCATTAAAGAACTGTGGAGAAATAAAAAACATTTTGCTGTGTTGTGTTAGGCTTTTTAGAAGCTGGGAAAAGTCTTGCTTGGCTGCGTTGTTTAGCTTGTGCACTATGTTGTGGAAAAACATGCTATTCATTTTCTGCTTCAGCAATTAATGTGAAGAAAAGGTAGACTTGTACTAGAATGGTGTTTAAGGATCTGTCCTATTTCTAGTCTTAATATTTTGTGTAGGGGCTGTTGAAAATGTCCTGCACTGTCAGGCCCCTGGAGCTTTCAATGGAACTCCATTGAGAGTCACCCCAATGCTCATGACTGCTGCTCCAGCTTAATCTCATCTCTGCTGGCGATCACCACATGGCTGGCTAATGACAGGCAACATGTTATAGGATGAACTAACATGCTCTAATCTCCTCTGTCCTTGACTGAAGAGCGTGTCTTGAGTCAATTTATTGTTAGTGCTTCACAAATGTTAAGAACAAGTATTCGTAGCTCTGCAGTAGTTAGTTGAGTGGAACTGGAAGACAAATAGAGACATACTAGATCCTGGGAATCTGAATCATCCACTTCATGTTGTGGGAGTAGACACGGTGCTTGGTGAACCACTGGGCCAGCTTGGTCCACTCGGAGGCCGAGCGGCCGTAGATGGACAGACGGGGCTCAGCGTACTGGTACTTCGCATCCTCCAGGTCTGAGGCCACCTCCTGTTTGGGGAGGAACAAAGCTTAGGAACCAAAAGGGCTGGTAAAAGACTGAACCCTTACCGTGAGAAGGGATTCCTTTTCAAAACAAAAATGAGTCTGGTGGCAGATGCTTTAAAGGCTTAATGAATTCTTTGAAACAGCAAATTACACACACTACAGCGATTGCTGTGGCTTGTGCATTTACAGTTTGTTCTCCTTCAGCCTCTTGTTAATTTTGAAAAGTAGTCTTCTATACAAATAACTTTTAACTGCAATGGTCTACTATTTTAAAGTACCTTTCCCTAATAATGGGCCTTTGTACTCCTGAAGGTCAGGTTGCGGGTTCGAGTCCCCAGTGCAGACAGTGCTGTTGTACCTGGTGTGAGGTACTTTACCCCAGTTGCCCCAGTCCACCCAGCTGTACAAGTGGGGACCAGGACTGCTGGGGTTCATCCATGTAACAAACTGGTATCCCATCCAGGGAGGGAGTCACTGCTCTCTAGTCTGCTTATTGCTATGAAAACAAGGTTTATTACTGGCCCCTAAAACCATGATTGTAAAATGATTTTACACATGGTTAAAGTCCACTGAAAATCTGAGTTTTGTGTTTAAAGCTTAGCCCCTGTCTTCATTTGCTGAGGTTACACTGAAAATATAGAACACCATATATTTTCCAGATATCAGTGATGTAAACAGTAATAAATTCACTTTACCGATTTATATGATTCTTTTGAAAGTCACTATATTTTGAACACATCAAACATGTCATATTTCCATTCACTTCTATGAAGAAATAAACATCTATGCACTTTTGAACCACACAGCATTCATTCTTTTCTTTTATTCAATAATATAATGACAAGCTCCTTATTACTAAGTTAAAAAATATTTTTTGATATCATAGCCACCCACTAGGTACAGTCTGGGTGGCTCAGTCGCTGAGATTGCTCCAGGATTTGGAGGAGTTTAGAGGAAACGTGTGCACACAGGTCTCATGGCATCAAATGTTTTCACACCGTTTTCATGCGATGCCACACCCCTGTCAAGCTAGATCAGATGTGACATCATCAAAACAGGGGTGTTGTGACTGCTCAGAAGCAGAGAACTACTGTACATGTTGTGCTGTGAATGCAAGAATGATACAAATAACATCACCAAGAGCATCTGCTTGGCTTGTGGGCTGTATAGACTTGAGCTTCCTGGTCCAAAAAATAGCCCATGGGCCATATGTTTGACACGCCCGACAAAGACGGAACAAGCAGAACCTCCTGATTTGCAGCACAGCTCATGCACACACCCATTATGATCATTATATCCCAGAGCATTCATTTACAAAAGGAGGATTTTCATTTCTGTTGAAACACCAGCAGTGGGGATAACAGCTGATTGTTTCATTGCTTCACAAAGAGCTATGCTGGAGTTCGTACAGTAATGTCTCTCCTTGAATGACATTACTTATTTTACTGCCACTTGAATAGTACGGAGTGAAAACATATTTGTCTATTTCTAAATACATTTCACCTTTTACTCAAACAAAGTACTGAAAATGTCAATGAACTGTATGCCAAAATGTTCACATACAGTACATATAAGTGAATATAATAAGTGTACTCATAATAACTGTATAATACTTATAATCTTTCAGTTTATCACACTATAGGCTGTAGGTTATCCAGTCATTTTTAGTGTTGCCTTGTGGACATTTGCAAAATATTTTCACAGTTCCTTCTGGGTATTGCTGAATCACAGCTAGAGAAAAAAAATATTTCTCTAAAAGAAACTCCCACATCTTACATCTTGTTATGAATCCTCATCCTCACCATCCCTTCTGCATCCCCTTGGTGCTGTGACATTTCATTTATTGTAACACTCTCACTGCTCTTAAATGCATGGATGTATTTTAAAGGCTCTGTATCTTCACCTTGCATCAGGGCTGCCTTACAACACTCCTCTCTGCATTTACTATGGTATACTGCAGTAAACAGTGACTAATGTGAGTGACTGTCTTTGTCTGAGTCGCACTGTGTCTGATGCTGGATTTTCATGGCCTTTGTGGCGACACTGTGGGCTTGGCTGTGCTTAGGCCCGTGCTCAAAGCGCAGCAGTCAGGACTTTACCTTGATGATGGTAGCAAAGTACTCCCCATCGATGTGATTGTCAGTCTTCATGTACAGATCCCTCAGCTCACTGGCCCCCACAGGGTTGTACTTTGCATTGAACTTGTCAAAGCGCTGGAAGGTCTGTCTGCCCTGAGGGGAGAGGGGAGAGAGAAGCTACTCTTAGACACGCTCCAGAACTCTGCAATCTTCACCTTTCAAGGGGGACATTAACAGAAGAGGAAAATCATAATTCATATCTGCTGTTTTCATAACTCCAAATGGAATTATTAAGGCAAAAATAATATTTAAACAACCAATTTGCTCTTTATTATCTACTGTATGCACACAATGAGCTATTAATGTAAACCTCAGTGTTCTTTTCGTTGTACCACTTTATATGTTTTTTTAATACAGATTTTCAAGTACAGTATTTCATTTCTTGATTGCACATAGAAAGACTGAAAACAGTACATTTAATGAGAAATAAACATGGCAGAGTCAGTGCTAATAGAGGCTAGATCTGACCTGTTTTCCCAGCAAACTTCAAGAATTACACCCACATAGCCTGCTTGTTTTAATATGTACTAGAGCTGTGAGAGCTGTCTCTAGTTACTTTGGAGCCCCATAATAATAGGTATTAATAATAATCTAAACAATTGAATGGGAAATAGTTTGAACTAAACCTTTACAGGTTTCCAGCTATCAGATTATTCCATCTGTGCAATCACATATGGAACCTGTTTAAGTAAACACATTGTTGTGATGTGCAAACATAGTTTCTCACCAGGCTGATTAGTTTCAATACTTTTTTTCTGCTCCACATGGCGCTGATGGATCAACACCCACTCCTGCAGATCTTCAGTGTGTAATTCTTAATGGGAAAATGCTTTCATTTCCAACTGCTTCCTCCAGTGCAGTCCGACAAGCGAAGGGCACAAGGGGAAGTATTCCCTAGATAGGCCGCCAATTCATCGCAGGGGGGCACACAGACACACTCACACCAGGGACAATTTTCCCAGATGCCATTTCCCAGCATGTCTTCGGATGGTCGGAGAAAACCGGAGCACCAGGAGGAGACCATACAAACTCCACACACATAGCAACCCAGGTTCAGAATTGAACCCAGTGCCCCAGTGTTGTGAGCCAATAATGCTAACTGCTGCATGCTGTTCTAATGCTTTCATGTAGCTCCCATATCTGCCTCATTTTAACATTAAACAGTGTTTGGCATCAAAAGTGCAGCAGTGTAGATTTGACACATTCTATGGAATCGGGGGATGGAGTGAAGTTTGGTCCTTTGTGATCTGGGGAGACAGATGAGGTGGGTCCTGCAGGGAGGGGGCAGTACTTACGGCGTGCACGTCCAAGGAGTCAACAGTGAGGTCATAGGGGTGAAGGTTGAGGGAGGCGAAGAGCTCCTTCATCGTCACCTCCTTGCCCTTTATGCACTGCACCACCCTTTCGGAGTCCACGCGATACGACTTCTTAATGAAGCGCAGCAGGTGCTTCTGGTTCATGCAGGCCGCCGCGTGGATGTGGGTGTCCACCTGCAGCCGATACAACATAACAGGCAGACTAGCATCCCTGCACTGGACGGACACAGAGCAGTCCACAGCGCTGTGCCTCGTTCAAAGGGCCAGACAACATAATTCCAGTATTAGCTCATTTAAACTTAAAAACACCCTTAAATTGTTTAAATTGTTCAGCCATAGACAGTGCCTGAGCTTCCGCTGGACAACTGGAGTGGATAAACGGATAGATAGATTTAGACAGGTGCAAAAGAAAAAGTAATTTCATCTTGCTACTGCAACACAACCTTCACACAGCAGATGGCAGCACTAGACAGCAGTAACAGATTAGTGCACTTAATTTTCCTACAGTTTCCACATGAAATTGAATAGGCTTTCAATGTGTTTTCCAGGTGTGCAGGCTAAATTATTCTCACAACTGAAAAATATAGTTGTATTCCTTTTACTGTGACCTGTGTCACGATGAATTTGTCTTACTGCAAGTAGGAAGTGACGCATCATATTCATTGGATGAAACAGAAAGGCTGTTGGGGCTAATAGTGTGGAGTGGAAGTCAGTACCCCTCAATAAAAACTACTGCTAACGGTTGCTGCAGGCTGAGTAGACATTATAACAAATTCTTGCTTGAGTGAGTCATGTCTTGCCTGTGGTTTCAGAGTTCGGCAGTTTTCAGTACCCTTTCTACTACTTTCCATTCCACTCCACTGAACTAATTTGCTTAATCTGAATACGATTTTTTTACATTTTTGTTCACTGTTAGGTTTAAGGTTGCAACTTGCTCCGAGTTGAATTAAGGGCTCAGTCAATTCAAGAAAGCTTGTGGCGTGAGAGGTCGAGAACACGGGGGTCATGGCAACACGGGGCTGATTCTGTCAATAGCAAACAGTAAAGAAATCCCTTTCTTTACAGCAATAGAATGGACACTGGACTATTCCATCTATGATCTTACATAAATCAAAAACACATGGGTGTGAGGGTGCAGGCATTGCTTAAAAATAAGAAAGTTAACAAGCAAATTAAATGAAGGTTTAAATGTTCTGTCAAGACATTTGATGAAAACCTGTCTTACATAGACTTGTGGCTGTAGAGACCTGTTACAGGGGTAAATTGCACTGCACACATGGTAAATTTACCAAAGATGTCACTTGCACTTCACAGAAGAATTCCTTCCCTTTAGAATCAGCTTATTAGAAGAGCGTCTGAAAGCCCTGGATTTCAGAGACCAGGGGTGAAGAAGCCAACAGATCAAACCCACAGCAGCTGCGTGACCGTCGCCACGGCCTCCATCACTCTTACCTTCCTGCAGTTGTAGAAATCACGGTGAGGGTTCTTCTTCAGCTCTTTCAGCTCCTCCATCTCGTTCAGCATCTCGTGGACGTTGAACTTGGACATGAGGAACTTCAGCCTGCGGTGGGTGTAGGTCTTACTGCAGAGGATAGAGACAGGCTGCTATTACCCACAGGGCTACACTGCACATGGTCCTATTGATCCCTTTCAAACTCTCACGTTCTGCCGGACTTGTTGCCAAATGGAGATTTTGCTGGGGAATATGGACTTGGAACCAGCAAGGGAAAAAGCAGACTTGTGATCTGCTTGTTTGTGTCACTAAAACTGGGAGAAAGAGACCAACTCAAGAGCCTGGAGGTATGAAGGGCTGGGCACTCACGTGGGTCCCTGAGCAATCAGGGCGATGAGGAAGTTCATGTCATCAATGAATGTGGCCAGGTCAGGGTAAGGCAGGTCTTTGGGCTCGTGCTTGTCTGCTGCTTCCTTACTGGCGTAGATACAGACCACGCCATCCCTTATACGGGCTACATAGCCCAGGTTCTCAGGCAGGCTATCAGTGGACAGAGGGTCCTCGTCTTTTTTGGGAGGTGGCGTGAACACTGGAAGAGAGATCAACTGAATTCTGTGACAGTTTGCTTACCTTGCTGCCAGCTCTAGATTATCTGGGACCTCATTCTGATTTTCGGTCAAGTGAAAAGAAAAATGTTTTTTTTTTCCCTTTTGAGGGTTGGGTTGGGGCCAAGAGCAGGCTGGCATGAAAACAGCTCCTGATTTAGCATAACACATTCTGAGCACAGCTCCTCCCGGTAATTAGGCTTCCTGGTTCCAGTCCTGATTCTACCATTGACTCACCATGTGACGCAT